TTTTGATGTGTTAAGTTAGTTTTTCCTTTATTTTATTTCTATATTCTTCATGTTAATTTCAGTTGTTAATACTTTAGTGTTGATTTAACTTAGCTCTAATTATTTAATACTTAATTTATATCTATATATAGATTAGTTTACATAGCTATCGTTAATTTATTACTATTAAATAGATTTTTATCTTTATTTTAACTTCAAATAAATGACAATCTAAAAAATATATCAATTTCATTGTGAATTAAATTAACGTGTTACCTAATTAGGATATATAAACTAATAGCTTTGGTGTTCATTATTATTATTATATGAAATATCTACAAACTTAATGATGATTTTAAGAAAAAAATATTAAAAATACTCTTTATTATCATTATCTTTTAAATTCCACTAGTATTCGTGACAGATACAGCTCAATAAGACGTTGCTAAAAATCTTGAAAAATACAAAAAGAATCTCTCCGGCGGGGAATCGAACCCCGGTCTCCCGCGTGACAGGCGGGGATACTGACCACTATACTACCGAAGATGTGATTGCAGTGCGCGAAATAGCGGCTCTGTTGATAATTTTAGGACGTTTTTGTATTTTTAATCCGTTCAATATTTTGGGTAGGTATTGTTATTATCATTGTGATAGTATGCTTATTTAATAATCTCGCTGTACATATTGATTCATATGTTACATAGATAATTTAAGTTATTTATACGTTGAATAATTCCATTATATAGCTGAGTTTTGTTTCAGTACGTATAGAGTAAAATATATGTATAGAGCTCAATATTTTTTTGGGTCACTAATGACACGATTGTTGTCTGCCTTGTTGGCCGAGTGGTCGTAAGTGCGACTGCTGGGCAAGGGGTCTCGGGTTTGATTCCCGAGAGTCTAGAATTGTGCCCGGTATATGGCAATAAGCTCGCCCCCAATTACATGGGACTCATAATATAAATAGTGAAAAGTGGGTTTTACGTTGTGCAGTGGCCAGTGGAATTAAGGCTTTGACTGCCGACAGAAAACTATTGAAGGTAAATCCTCCGCTAGCGTGGCCCATACGTTGTCCCCCATGGCGTTAAAGGTGTTAAGTGCCGTAATGTGCACCTCTACCTACCCCTTCGAGGATAAAAGGGGTGACGTTATATGTTTTGTTGCTTTTTTAATTATTACCTGTTTTCCATTGAGCATCGCAGTAGGTGTTGATCCATCTGTCCGGTCGGTAGTGGCGGCGAGTAGCGAGGACAGTTGGTGAGCCACGCCGGCCAGTGTGTGCGCCGCCAGACGATTGAACTCGTCGAAACATCCCCACGCACCACACAGAGCTAGGCCACTGAGTAAACGACCCATACACTCTACGTCCATTGCCTGGAATTACAAAACATATGATAGCAAGGCTTTACCATGTCTGTAAGTATATTAGGGTCTTAGTAATGAAAGAGTTACAGGTACAGGGAATAATAATAATATAATTAATCTTCAGTTCAGAGTGCTAAGCAGGAATAACTATAGCATTCGTAACGCTACTCATATTCATTCGTAACACTCAGTTATGCTAGTTATCACGAACGAACTTCGAAAGTTCCGATTTTTTGAAAAAGGTAGGAATTGTAAATCACGCTAGTCTGAATAGATTCCAAACTAGCATGTAATCTGTAAATCATATCTTCAGGTCACTTATATTATTACAAATGTACTTATAGTAATATTACATAATAATATAAATGCTCACTCTTTGAAATCACGTGGACGATAAATAGTACTTACGTATAGTTTGTTCGGCATATAAGAAAGTATACATATTTAATCATATTAGAGGTATATATTATTATAGTAAACAAAACAATATACCTAATTATGTTTGTCATGTCCTAATTTCTGTAGATCTGTATTTCAAATGTCCAAGGAATTTCATTCACTAAAGTACAAACGACTAAGTATGTTATTTGGCCATTATCAATATTGTAGTGATTTTTGGAGACGCGAGGTTTTACGATGAATAAAATTACCTACGTAAAATAAATCTTAACATGTTACATTAAATGAGTAATGAGTGGGATTACCTCATCGCAGTTAAAGATTAGTACCAAACGTCCTACGAGACCACCCAGAGCTTTCACAGACTCCGTCTTTCCAGTACCAGCTGGACCGAAAGGGTTACCAACTAAGCCCAGATGGAGAGACTGAAACAAAAGAAAAACTATAATTTAACGTACAACTGTAATGACGACACGATTAAATTTTTGTCGTCCATTTTAAGAATATTATATTTTGGTAAGTACTAGATTATAATTAAAGAAAAATAAGTTTATTGGAAACTTTAGCGCCATGTTAAATAATAATAATACATTTATTATACGTAAATGGGTAAATAACTTGATTACCTGCGTCAATATAAAGAAACAGTCATCAGCAAGTTCGGTGCGCACAAACTGTCCAGTGTTCACTCCTAGGTATTCGTATGAATATGATATCTGAGCTAGTCCCATTTTAGCTACCACCTCCTTTGTACTTAGCAAATAAAATCTGTAAAAATGCAAGCAAGAAGAGTTTTAGCTGTTTAAATGAGTATAGGTTCAGTGTTTTTAGTTGCTATAAATTTTTCTTCCTTGCCTACACTTTGTAACTCAGTATAAATATTAAGTTACTTACCTCAACTGTTTTTGCCAAAGCCAGTCGCTAGTTGACACGATATTATTGTCTATCAAAATTCTGATGACGGACAAATAATGAGCACATTGTAATATGAGTGCCTGTCGTTTGCGTCGCTCACTCTCGTCCTCTATTTCGGCTGAAGCGTAGTAGGAATTCTCCTTTTCAATATTGGATTTTAATTTGTGTAATTCCTTAGAAGTGATGGCTTTTTCTGCTTGTTCTGTGAAGCGTATGTTTTGTGCAAGACATAGTATTTGTGTTGGTAGTGAGAATGGGTCTTGTTCCTGGAGAGACTTTGTAACTATGCACTTTAGGGTCATGCTCTTTAGAGAGGATCGCATTTCTGCTTCCAAATTCTTCAACCATACCTTTGGAAATAAAGACGTTATGTATTCACGAGAACATGTGTGTGATGAGGATATTCTCACAGATTGTATTCAGAGTAAGAAAATGCATACCTCTACTGGACAATCGATATCCACTGGGTGGTCCAATTGGAATGTTTCTCCGTAATGGCTACACAAAGCGGTAATAGACATATCTCCAGGCCCCAATCGTACTCCTGTGATTCCCGGGAACAATTTCTTTAGATGTGTTTGCATAACAGCTTCCCTCCCTTCAGCACCAGCACGAGCTTGTCCAAGTAGTTCTAGTAAATCATCGTCACTCAGGAAGTAAAGTCTCGGGAATACTGAACGTTTTTCCTAGAAATAAGCATCACAATCATCGTCTTACTAAATCTATAAATTCAGTCATGTAACTACTGAGATACTTCATGACGGTTTGTTAATAACCATTGGGTAATTATAGAATAAACACTTACACAACAGTATAACAGCTACTTGAAAAATGCAAAGGATTAACAATGTCGGTAACTTATTGAGTCAGCATTATAGATGACGTCATGTAAACAAAAACTGCTATCCGTACAAGTAACAAAACTTGATTCACGATCATTAACTCTATCAAGTTGTAATTGCTGTTCAATTAATTGGTTTCAATGGATATCTACTATTCAGAAAATACAATTAACTTTATAACTTAACTTTAATTAACTCCTTACCAACAATCCTGCCTGCACATACTATTATTTTCCAAGATTCGATCTACGTATACCTATCTGTCCTAAAATTAAGTAAAATCAGTCTAGTGGCTACATGTGAAAGCTGAACAAACTCTTTCCATTTAATGTCATTCCTACCTGGCCACCTAGGTTCCTCGGTACTTACCTATTAATCCGAATATTTTTATTATACTTACATCAATATAGAGATTTAAGGCTGACTGACAAGCTAAAAGTTGTTCAGATATGGAGTCCAACATGGGTTGAAGTCTCGAAGACTGCAGTAGAGCTGAGAGCCTAGGATCCGACTCTAATATCCTCGTCACTTGTCGAAATCCTTGGTCTACCTTCCGGAATTTGACTCCTAATTCACCATCATCATTGGAAAGTATGGGTTCTAAGTACAGCCACCTTAAATAGGAAATAATTGAATTAGGTAGGTAAACTACTTTTTGTGACCTCCTTTCTTTAACCTTTTAACACTTATAATCGGACTAATATCATAACAGTTTTTTTGAATCTATCCCTTTGAGAATTACTATTACTAAATGTGACTGCGTGCTGTTTTTAGACTTTAGGATAGATTTATGTAACTCTAGTTTTTATATACCTAATGAGAAAATCTAATAAACATAATTCAAACTAGTATTTGCAATTTAATTTATTCTAATAGTTTAGTCTACCTGCCTTAATAATATAATTGCAGGTAAGGGATATGTACCTAACGCAAGTCAGATATTTGAATATCGTAACAAGACAACTAAATCCGTATTACACATTTTTCCCCGTCAATAGATATTTACATTAGATACATAGACAGTACAATGTCCATTTAATGACGAAGCCGAAGTATGTGTTTAGAGCTGACCTTTCCTAGCTTTTACCTGCTTCAAACATTCGTTATTTTTTTTTTACTAAGTATTTGACTTTTTTTTTACATGCTTCTTAAAGAAATTTCTAAATTTTGTATTCATTAATAAGACAACTAAAATAATAATTTATCTGGAGCACGTCATTTTATATATGCTCAACAATAAACATATTCAATCAAATTACCAACTTGATGAAATAGAATAAGAAGACATAAGCAGTTTAAATAGATCATAGATTGAAGTAGCCAAAAAAGTTATAATTATCAACCAACTAATGTTCGGTGTTGACCTGTGACATTATTGTTACTGATAAGAGTGTATAACTCCAACACTAGCGTATTTGTGTAGCAACTAATATGTAGATACTTGGACTCCATTCAACTAATTTATTTGTACGGGTAATTATATAATTAAAACGAATAGCAAGTAATGGCAAAGTTTTATTAACAATTAAGTATTGGTGCCTCGTATATTACAATATCATTATGGCAATACAGAATAGCGTCTCAAATGCAATAGAATGACTAATTATAATATGGAATCAAAGAAAGAATCTCATTATTTAAATGCACGTTATATCAGACAAGTCTGATATTAAAATAATATTAAGGGAAATGTGTAAACTTAAAAGATATAAATTTTCTAGTCAGAAATTAGAAATTGTTTTAGGAAAAAATCAATATTGTGCTTGACGAACACTGCTTAAAGTATATTTTTAAGTTTACACGACATCCTACGTATTTATAAAATACTTATGATGGTACAATAACTAGTATTATCTGCTCTGGCAGTACTATTAGTTTACAGTAAATAGAAACTATAAAATTAATTATTTCATACAGACACACAGAAAATATACTTTATGGAAAAACAGCACAAAACATAATATAATGCACATAAATTACCTATAATTAACAGTAGTTTGTAGAGAACTTTATTTTGTTCCTTTGAATTAAACGTAAGTTTACATTTTTACATCATAGTTATTTCACCACATAGTAATAATTCTTTGGAATATTTGTCTAAATAAAGATACAAAATATATATTTTATATAAACCTAATTTTATAATTATGTATTTCAAGAAATATTGTCTATAAATGATTAGTGAATGCCACTCACTGGAAAGATACAGAACAAGTTAAAAATATCATAATTGAAAAAGAAAAAAAAACAATCTTTAAAAAGCTTTCTTATTGAGAATTTACAGTCTGAACATGTTGTCAATGTTGTTTTATATGATAAGTACAGTACTAATGAAATATGGAGATGAACATAATATTACTCGCATTTACAACCCAAATTTCTTTGCAATATATTACAGACACAATGTAGTTAAACTACACATATTATATCAAAATAACGAACAATGACTAACATTGCAAAATGCACAGCATTATGGCACTTATGGAAACAGTAACAATATTCGGAATATATCAGTTTAAGTTTACATAATTACAATTCCGATGGCAAACGAGTATAGACTATTCCCTACGTCGTGCAAGACCTGTAGTAATCCGATCGTTTTGTGATTTCAGACAGGTAGTAGTTCATTTGTGTATTGAGTTCACCGATTTCTTTTTCTAATGTATTTAACTGTTCATTGTGATCGTTGTATAACACTTCCATGTTAGCTAGAAGTTTAAGCTGTGTTTGAGTGTCACTAGCCAGTTTAGTTGCACGCTTTAGTAGCATCTGTGCTCTTTCTCTTGAGTTTGAAGTTTGACTTGCACGTTCAGCAAGCGACATGTTAGTGCGTTTGAAATCTTGCCTCAATAATCGAGCTGACTGCTCAGCACCTTCTGCACGACTAACGACGTCACTAGCCTCTTGTTTCACTTGTTCTGCGTCACTTTCTATTTTCAATATGTCTTTTTGTAAGTCGGAAAGTCGCAAGCGCAAGCCTTCCACTTCATCTTTAGTCTGGTTAGCTTGTTTCTGTGCTTGTTCAGTTTCCGTAGCTATAGGAACTAAATCATTTTTGACTCCTTCAATGTCACTGTTTGCCTTATCAATTGCATTTTCTGCGGCGTCTTGAGCTGCTTGTGCTTCATCCAGAGCATCTAAAACTTTATTTGCCATTTCTAATGTCAAATTGGCTGCTTTGTTTACTGTGGTAGCATTTAATTTTAAAGCCTTGGCTCGCTCTAAGTCTGGTTTAGTTTCTGCAATAATATTCTCGATGTCAGTTAACTGCGATACTGAAGAATTGATACGCTGAGACAGTTCTGTTATTTCTTTTGGCTCTATACTGATGGATAAGTTAAGTATATCATTAGCTAGAGTTCTGACATCTGCAGGAGTATTTGAGGTATTAGACAAAAATTCTTTTAATTCAGTCGTTAAGTCTTGGCTTTCATTTGTAACTCTCTCTGCTGATGTCTTAAACTCAAAAGCTCTGCTATACAAATCCTTTGCCCTTGATCTAACATCAACGGTATCTTGTTTCACTTGAGATATTAATTTGAAAAGATCCTCAGCGGTGAGTTCATGTTCTTTAATACGAAATTCGGTCTTATTAGCGAAATCTAAAGCTTGCTCTGCTTTAGTAACAGCTCCTTGGTCACAAGATATACCACCACATTTGCCACATCCAGCCCCGCCACAAATATCACAGCTATCGCTTTCCTGGCCACACATTTTTTCATTTAATTTTGGCATTTGAGATTCAAGCTGTGATAGTTGATCTCGAATATCATTAAGTTTTTTATCATTTTCGTTTTGAGTGTTATTAAAGTTGGTATATTGCATTTCAATAAGTCTATCAGTGTTTTTAATTTGGCGATCAGTATTTGCAATTATTGTTTGCACATCATCTGCATCATCAGCAGCTTTAACAGCTCTCTGTTTAGCTTCACGAGTCAAATTAAGAGCGCCTTCTAAATTAGCTTCTTGTAATTTTGTTGCGTTATTCCCTAAGTCAGATGTTTTTCCCTTCAAAGTTTCTATACTGGTTCGTAAGCCTTCTAATGTAACATTACCAAGATTGATTTTGGATGTAAGTGCATTTAGGTTTTCGTTACTGTTTTTGACTTTCTCATCAGCTTCTGCTAATAAGTTTTGTAGACTAGTTACATTAGACAATAAATCTTTAACTGTAGTTTGACCTTGTTTTGCACTCTGCAACATATTTTCTACTTCAGATAGCTTTTTGGTCATTTCATCAAAATCTCTTGTGTAAGCGCCAGTAGCACCAACTACTTTGATTTTACTGGCATTGCCAATAGCGTACTCAGTTTGAATGCGTAAGTCGTTGATTAATCGATCCCAGTTATCGAAACATTCACCGCAAGCATAACATCTAGGGGCTTCTCCCAAGTATCCTCTAGCGCACATATCGCATTTATATCCTCCTATACCTGGTTTGCATATGCATGAGCCATTTGTCCGCATACATTGGCGAGACACAGAACCGTATAAGTCACAATCGCACTCATAACATTCAATACTAGGGACTCCCCAATGATTTTCTTGACATTGGTCACATTGTCTGCCTCCATGGCCTGGTTTACAATCACATTTTCCTATGTAAGGATTACATTGTGGTGATAATGAACCTATGGGATCACAATCACAAGGATCACAACCTGTTCCTAAAGCTATTCTCCAATGGTTTTCTGTACATTGGTCACAATTAACACCCATGACATTCTTGAAGCAAGGACATTGACCGGTGACACCGTCACAATTTCCTACTGTGAAGTTTGTACCCAATTCGGAGCAGTTACATGGGTAACATGTCTTTTCCAGTGCATTACCGTAATACCCTTCAGCGCATTTCTCACAATGTTCACCAGCAGTATTATGTAGACATTGTAGACATTTACCGGTGTATGGGTCACAATTGCCAGGTTTAGTGACATCAGTATTTTCGTTACATTCACACTGCTCACAAGTGCCTTTAATTGGATCTCCATAATAATTGTCTGCACACACGTCGCAAAGCGGCCCAGCATAGCCTTCTTTACATTCACACACAACATCCTTCGACTCAGGATCTAACTCACAACGGTCTGCGTGACTACTCTTGTTTGGATCTCCTATTGTTCCAGGGCAAGGACATGGCCTACAAGGTATGTCGATACCTAGGCGAGGATCACCGTAATATCCTTCAATACATCTTTCACAACGATGTCCTTCTGTGTAGTCTCTACATTCTTTACAAGCTCCCGTTTTATCATCACATTCAACTGCATGTCCATTGCAGTCACATTGTTGACAGTTGGGGAAGTTGAAATATCCCGGTTGACATAAGTCACATGCTCGCCCATAAGTATTGGCCCGACATTTACATTGTCCACTTGTTGCGTCACAAAAGTTATCAAGCGAACCTATACTGTTACAGTCACACCGTTTGCATCCGAATTTGCTAAAACCATACGTTCCAGGAGCGCAGCGGTCGCATCTGGCGCCAACAATATTTTCTACACATTGACAGTAACCAGTATATTGGTCGCACTGATGACTCTTAGATCCTGTAGGATCACACTGACAAGATTGAGATCCATTTCTTATATAGAATCCAATGCTCGCATGATATTTCTTACAGATTTCAGGAACATTTTCTCTATTAAGGTCGTAATAATACGGATCACCACAATTAAACCGTTCAAATTCTTCTCTCATTGAGCTATTACGTGCCAAAAATGGAAGGTCATCAAAGGAAGGTATAAGAACTATGGAATCGATTAATATTGAAGCTCTCGAATTGGGTAAGCGACTATCTTGACGTCCTAAATATATGCGAATTTCAGTTTCCTTGCCTTTCTCCAAACACACTGCAGGTGTCACCAATACGCTTCGTTGATTAGATGGCAAATAAGTATTTATAGTGTCATCTTCAGGTGTCACATTAGCGCACGGAGAGTCTGCATCGATAGGTAATGGTCGTTTCACTAATATTGTTGCTTCTTCCCAGTTTATGGGTGATTGTGGCTCGTACCTAATTAACACATTATAATTCATACTCTTTTGAATATTATTTATAACAAATACAAGTGTACTACTTTCAGGAAGTTTCATAAAACCAGGGCCAGTCCAGGTTTCTTTCCTATCATCTGGATAATTTTCTCTTATTACAACATGACATAACTGATTTTGAATAGCAATAGCATTATCATCAATTTGAGAATCGCATTGACTCGATTCTCCTTCAATAACAATGGAGTCGAGGGCTCCGATAAAGAAGTTTTGTATAGGTTGATCACAACGACGACCAGAAACATGTGGCCGACATTTACATTGTCCTGTTATCACATCACAGTCCCGGTCTAACGAACCACCATAGTCGCAGTCACAAGGTTGACAACCATCATCACTATTTGACAAACCGTAGAATTCTGGTAAACACTGATCACAATTTCTTCCAGTAACATGACGTTTACAGAAACAGTTGCCAGTTAATGCGTCGCAGCCTCTCTCGTTAATTGTACCTAAGTTGTTACAAGTACAAGATTCACATCCATCAGGATTAAGCGGATCGAAGTTCCAAAATCCATCGCGACATCTATCACATCTGGGTCCGTCGACGTTAGTCTTACAAAGACAACGACCCGCAGTTTTGTTGTTAGCGGTATCTGTCTCATCATCACAAAGTATTTCTTTATCTGTAGTACCCTCTGGGTCACAATCACATGCTTTACATATGTCTGGGCTCTGAATATCTAAGTTAGGGTCCTTATAAAACTTGGGTTTACACCGTTCACAATTAACACCCATTGTGTTATGTTGACAGTTGTCACAAACGCCTCCACTAATTTTACCAGTTTTGTTGTACACAGCCGGATCAAAATGACAAGTTGTTGCATGATTATTACATGTACACCTCTTGCAAGCATTAGAAGTTTTCCCTACCGCCGGTTGCCACGGTAAATCATTATAAAAGTCCTCGCAGTATTCACAGTTCAGTCCTCGGGTATTATGAGTACATTCACAGCGTCCGTGTACCATATTGTTCTTTGATTCCACTCCGGGCATAGGTAAACAACGGGATGCGTGACCGTAACAGGAACATGAACCTCTAACTGTCATTTCATAAATTGAATAGTAATACTTCTCTTGAATTTCTGCTCTATTGTCCAGTTTATCATCTCCAAGGGTGTGTAGTTTAGTAAAGTTTATTCTAAGATTGGTCATACGCAACAGGTTCTGCACTTCTTCTGAGTATGGATTGGTCACATTAATATTAGGCGGCAACACTCTAAATATCACTTCACCTTCCGTAGATGGAGATACACCAGAGTAACGAGATTCACAAACCACTTCCGTCAAAGATCGCTGCGTGTGCTTGGGTACGCCTGGGAAGTAATCGTCGCAGTTGTGGGCAAAGTAACGATAAACTCGCCATGTTTTTCCGAAGTCAAAAGATCTTTCCACCAACATAGCAGCAGGCCGAAAAGTTTTGAACTGTATAATCAAATGCGTAAGATGGAATTCTGCTTCCATGTTAAGTTGTACCGTCACATTTTCTTTCCCATTTTCAGATTGCCACCAGGACTTTGTTCGTGTGCCCGGGTAGTATTTATAGATGATATTCTGAATTCGGTGGTTAAGATAAGGGTTGTGTATAGTGCTATTGGTTGAGTCGCACCAAAAACATTTCTTCGGTTCTAAATGCGATACGATGCAGTAACGTTCACGTCCCATGCCTCCGCACGTGGAGGATGCAAAGAGTCTCGATTCACGGCCAATAAGCAGGTTGCCTGTGGCTGGGTAGCAGGAGCTTAATTCACACGAACGGTCGTATAAGCGGGGGTCAGCGCGGAGGCGGTCGCGTTCCCTGCTGTATACCGCGGCGCCGCCGGCGATAAGCGCCGAAAAGATAAACAAAGCGCGCAGAGCCATGGCGCGGTCCGGGCTCTCCGCGCGCCGCTCACTGCACTGGTGGCTGCTTTGGGCCGAGACACTCTCGCGCTGCCTCCGCCCCCCGCCCACCCCGCTGCCCTACTTATACAGGACCGGACTTGGTAGTAACACGATTGAAACTTTGTTCACAGAGCTTTTATATCACAATATAAAATCTTATTAAACGTTTTAATTTTAGATTAGCCCACGTTCAAGTTTGGTGTCTCTGTTTTTATGTATGATCAATCGTTTTTATTTAATTTCATAATATTTTAGCTGCGAAATTCTAACAAGGTAGGCAAATGAAAAATAAAATGTTTAGTTTTTATATCGTATACCTGTAATTTAAACTAACGTAATAAGATATAGGTGACGTATTTATTTTTTGTTAGAGGTTTATATAAAGCTCACACACAAAAACAGGTATCTAAGTATGCCGTGGTAGAATACGGCCCTGTGCGAGGCGACGACCGCTCCCGCCCGCACACCGCTCGTGCCGTTCTCCGAAACGGGCACTAAGCAACAAAAATAACATCGCATTTCGGGATGCGCTTTTTGTTTTGATCATTATTATGGCAACAAGCTTCCTTGTAATCTCATCTAACAACCGAGGCTTATTTAATACTATATACAATTTTAATGTCAGAATGTGTGAATTTTTCTCGTCCTTTAAAAATTGTGTGTGTGAGTAAGTCATCATATTTCAGGTTTTAGTGGTCAACGGACAATGAAATGCGTATATCATGTGGGATCCCTTTGGTTAGGTCACTGTGTCTGATATGGCCACTCGGTTCGTCAGAGCCGGCCTTCCGCCCTACACATCCGTCGCTGATAAATACATTCGCGATTTAAATGACTGACTGTTCAGACAAATGATACATTTATTTATTGTAGAAATCCATGCAAATTACTGTGATTTTTTATTTACGTGTGATTGAGCTAGCTTGAGAAGCAGTATTTATTATTATGTATTATCTAAAAATAGAAAATAATGGATGAAGATTGAAGCGTAGTATCTCAATTCATAGGAGTAATGATGCCTGTAAGCACGTGTAGGTAGGCTGCTATGGGTTGCCATACAAAACAATAGGGTTCAGAGAAAGGGCCCTCAAATTGTTTAGTGAACTGCACACAGAAAAAATTGTAAACGCATGAATTGGTTTTAACAATTTCAATGAAATGAAATGTAGTGATTTAAAATGGTTTGACCTACTTTAGGGTTACAGAATTATCTATTAGGTATTAAACTATTAGTTGAAGTAATCACTTCATTGTATTACATTACTTTAAATAACATGAAATTTTATATATCGATCAGAGTGGCTCATAAACATTAAAGATCCGAAACCGCAAAGATATAAAGCCCAATATAATGTTAAAAGAGAACACGCATAAATCTTCTATCTCTTTCTTTAGTAAAGTTTTAATACTTAGTTGGTGGGACCTAGTCAGAATGTTCAATGTTATTAACATAATTAACACCTACTAAAGTGCAATTATCAATATCTCAGCAAGATTTCTTCACCCAAAATAGGTACCTACGTTTTTGTTTCAATAGGAATTTTGCAGAAACTTGGTAATGATTCTGCCCACAGTCTATATTTTGCCAAGTAAAAAAGTTCTGAAGTAGGTAGAGTGCGGCCTGGCAGTGATCTAATTTCATTAGAAAAAGTTAATGTTATTCTGACATTCAAATAGAATATTGGGTAGAAGGCAGGGGTGTAAATGTCAAACTTCAGTATTTATGAAGGTGGTCCCAATTTGTTACGATTGCGTTTTTATAGATGCTTAGGATATCATTGTTAAGCGGGTTATCAGTTCTCACGGATGTTTTAAAGCAATTTGTTTGCTACTGCTGAACGGAACCTGTTTTGTTTTTTATCCTGCAATGATATTGTCTAATGTCTTTTGTTACTATTTGATTGTTGCCTTTCTCAAAGATTTAGGTAAAGTTTCAATGATAAACTATTTTTAATTAGGATACATAAAATGACGTCATTGCCGGGTAAGTTAGATTTAACAAGCAGTGGCCTCTTAACTATTCAGATAACTCGTTACAATTTCAACAGTTTCAACGATAACCCCTTATCAGTGCCAAGACTAGAAACGTTTTGTCCAATCACAAAAATGTGACCATTGACCAAATGTCTATTCAATGTAATATCATGGTCATTTCATAGATATTTTGTTCAATGAAACTACACAAGTAACATGTCCCTTACGCTAGGTACTTACTAATGAAAAGAGCCCATCTCTACAAAGGATATACATATTTCTTGTAATTTGCTTACAAAAATAGAGGAACGACTTTTATTTATTAATTTCATGGCAGTTTAGTTATAGGAACCTCAATACAACACACAACCACGATAAAGAATTTCAAGTCGAAGGCAGCAATAGAACTTAGGGTGAAACAAGCTTCGGATCCAACGTGTTAACCTAAATAATAAGACATGCTATAAAAATTAACGAATTAAATAAATATAGCCATATCTACGAACAAATTATTAGGCACTGCAGTGATAACCGTACAAAGAACTTAAGAACAAAAATAAGCTTCGTATTGGGGCTAGTACAAAATTAAACAAAACGAATAATAAATAAGAATTCGGTTAAGAATCTTGAGAAGATGACAGCGAGCGCTGTGAATGAACGCTTTCCCGCCGATAAGGGTTCATTCTCAAAAGGCGGTTATGATGTCAAAGTTCATGAGAGATAAACACTTGGCTACTGATCCGATCTATTATCTCACTGTTGCTGTTCATAGATGGACATATTTAGCATTTTATTACGTTTTTATTTTATAATATCATTATTAGAAATAGGTCTCAAATGAATGTTGCGTTTAAAAATTTTCTAGCTAAGGCACGATTTTCGTATCGCTGAGATCTGTAACGGATAGAAAGCTATTGGGAAACGGATTGCAAAATTTTTACTAGAAAGTTAGGAATGTTTACTTTTAGCCCAGTTATTCCCTGATAAAGTCTGCTGGCAGGTAGCTACGCCTGGAAAGACCATACCTACATGACTTAAAATACCAGTCATTGTTTGAAAGTATAGCAATAAAAACTATATTATATTTAGAACTTGATTTGAGCGTATTTTTCTAAAACAAATAGCGATAATCCGAATATAAACAGGATAGTGGATCCAAAATTATCCACAACTTTACGGTGCGGCTAGGAAGGGAATAATCATAAAATATTTCGTTTGACGTATTACCTCACTGCGTACGTCGTTGACCGAAGCCAAAGAAAGGGCTCTATGCATGACGGTGGTGTCGCATTCCACTGGCGTACAAGAATACTTTCATTACATATCTATTATTACATACAAAGACTTTAACAACAACGTTTAGAATATTTGTAGATAATATCAATCATTATGTAATTAACTATTAATGTGCAGCATACCTATACCTTACTACGATGATAAATCTTTAGTTTTGGTAAGAAATTTCAACTAGAACGGCAAATTGTTAAACAATAAATCTAAATGTAAAGTAGTATGGCCAATGTAGTTAAAAGTCAGTGGCGTAGCGTGCCTTTGGGGGACCCCATATAAAAATTTGTTTAGGGGCCTTGAACGATAAACATTTCTCACAATAGATTTTTTTACCTCTACATAAAATTCTCATAATTTGTGTGAAAACCGAAAATCTTTTTATTTTGACTTTTGCGATTGCTGAAATAGAATAAAAATTGGGAAGTTTTTATTAATTTTTGCTTGCACGTTGGGGGCCCCTGTAGTCCGGGGGCCCGTATAATTGATACGGCAGATACGGCGCTAGCTACGCCCCTGTTAAAAGTTCACTGAGAACACCGTAAAGTCCTGAGAATCAGAAAATGAAATTAATTATTTTTGCGAAAATATCCTAACTCATGGGAATTTTAAAAATAGTCAAGGTGTTGTTTTTTTAGACATGATCTCGCAATGAAACCAATAAAATATTAACGGCTTTATAAAAATATTATGGAGTAAACAAAAAGTATATTAGTAACTATTTCTAGAGGGTATTTGTAGCTTGTTGATTATGTTACCTACACCGTAGTCTACGTAGTCTTCAGTAGGTATGATATTCACAGTAAATATGGCCTTTTCACAAATCTTTTAGGTAGGTAACTTTAAATAAGTACAGATATCTCACCATATAGGTATCTAGTTCTATCTATATATCGTAAATGTCAAACTTTCACAGCAACGCACATGGAATTGGTAAACCTTTTAACGAGGAATTGAGACCAACAATGGAAGAAATGTTATGGACAACCAAATGAAACTATGTATTGTCCATTTTTTTAGAACGTTTCGAAGAATGTCAACTTTTTTTTTACAGGGTCTTGTATTTAGACGAACTTTGAAATATTAAATATTAAACAAAGAAGATACTTTTGTATATAGATAATAAAGCAATGTTATTTTTGTAGGCAATTAAATCGTAGCCTATCTTTGTACTAAGCATGTCGCCTAATTTTGTAACAACCGCGATGTTGGTGTCAGGACAGTGACCCCGCGTTATCGAAACAACTTTACATCCTCGGTAGCTAATCTGAGCTTACAGTATCACTGAAACGAAAATCTGCTGTTTGTGTAGTTTTATTACGACACGCATCCCACACCCACATACATACATACATGCATACGCATGCACTTAGATTCAATTACAGCAGTAGATATTAATACTGAGTTGTTACAGTTTACCTAGTTAAAATCTATGTCCACTTTGTGAGTGCTCCTTTCGCCTGTGATACAGGATATTCTTCCTAGTACAGGCATAAAAACCTAGTGAGATCTCTGATTTTAAATTAAGATGTTTATCTGTACTATGACCAATTTCTTATAATGAATAAAGATTTATTTTATTAAGATTTACTTTGGTTTACTTATATCATCATATTTACAATAATTATTATATTGGAAACCTTAAAATACAATTCTAATCATTAGGATTTACTTTATGCAGTACGTTTATCATCATCATCATCATCAACAGCCTATAAATGCCCACTGCTGAGCAAAGCCTCTTCTCACGTACGTTTATAATATAAATTATAGC